TCCGAAACAAAATCTGAAACAGTTCTCCTATATAGCAAAGTTTCCTATCCTAGATGTTTCAGCCTCTGTCCGCTGGTTGGAAGGCTGCGTCTGTTTGAACCCTTGTTGATCCGAAGAAAGACTAATCTCGTGAACGTACTTTGAACTTTTAAAGCTCAATTATATCTCTTTTGAAAGTAGGATTCCAAATCTGCGAACGGTGCTCCAAATGAGGATGAACGTAAGATTTGTAGAGGCGAATGAGTATGTCGGGTTTATCACCACAAATGTTCCGGAAAATCGTAAACAGGGAACTGTAGGCTTTGTTGGTCGCATACTCAATATGAGTCGAAAACTTCAGTTTAGCGTCAATGAGTACGCCTAAATCTTTGGCGTATTCGCACTTTTTCAACTTTACACTGTTGATGAAGTAATCTATGGCCTCCAAACAAAAGCGTCGTGGATGACTCGAACGAGGATATCGGTGGTATTGATCAATACCAACAATTACCAAAAAATTTAGTTTCAGCAGCTGTCTAGACAGGGAGGGCTCCTGAGTTACGTCGCAAATTGGATCGTTCTAGACTATTAAACATGCTTTGTTTTTGAAATGAAGATGAAGTAAGCATACTTACACACTTACGAAGCATACTTACAGCATACTTACGAAACCTTCAAATGTCGACACACACCATGGCAACTCGCATTTCCAGAAAGCCCTCATGGACATGAGAGTCACCTGGTGAACAGTGCGATAACGAAATAGACCACATTATCTTCAATCNTTTACACTGTTGATGAAGTAATCTATGGCCTCCAAACAAAAGCGTCGTGGATGACTCGAACGAGGATATCGGTGGTATTGATCAATACCAACAATTACTAAGAATTTTAGTTTCAGTAGCTGTCTAGACAGGGAGGGCTCCTGAGTTACGTCGCAAATTGGATCGTTCTAGACTATAAAACATGCTTTGATTTTGAACTGAAGATGAAGTAAGCATACTTACACAGGTATCGAAACCTTCAAATGTCGACACACACCATCCATGGCAACTCGCATTTCCAGAAAGCCCTCATGGACATGAGAGTCACCTGGTGAACAGTGCGATAACGAAATAGACCACATTATCTTCAATCAGAGGCCTTACTGATGTCGCTGTTGTTTCGTATTCCTACATTGGATCAGACCATCTCCTCCACCACGCTAGATTCTGCTTCTCAGTCCGTGGAGAGAGCTTTGAAGTTCAGGGAACAAAGCTCCGAGAGCTCCACCAACTGGAATCACTTCTTCCTTGCGACTGAAAGGAAAATTCCGTTATCGACAACATCGACAAAAAAAACAATCGGCTTGTCGAACATCTTTACGATGGTGCTAGGAAAGCAGAGAGTTTACAAGTAGCCAAGAGAGGACTTTATTCGAAGACTCTCGAGCTGATACACTAGCGTGAAATATCGCGAGCTGCAGGCAGTCATCAACAAACGTCCGAACTTGCGAAGCTGTGCAGAGAAGCGATAAAAGAAGATCTCAAAGAGAGAAGAGCAGCAGTTATGGGCGAAGCCGCCGAGCGCGGAAAGAGCATTTGCGAAGCCCGACGGAGCGCCAATTACAAGACCACCAAGATGAGTTCCCTCCCCGTCGTCTTAATGGGACAGTTACGGCATCACGAAGGGCAATGGAGAGGGTCACCTACGAATTCTACTCGGATCTCTTCGACAGCCACGTATACCTGCCTGCCTATCACTTCCGGAAAGAAGACGAATATGTTGTTTCTTAGGCTCTCCCTTCAGAAATTCGATATGCCATCACGTCGATGAAGAATTGTGCGGCACCTGGTCCCGCGATAGGATCAAACCAGAATATCTAAAGAACTTTCCACAAGTGACCTTCAGTACTCTGGCTGGGCTTTTCACGCGGTAGGTGCCGGAATGCAAAGTGCTCACGTCGTGGAAATTAGCAAGACTATACTATGCTGCTGTAGAAGAAGGGATAACTCGAAGATATTGGCAACTATAGCCCAATCTGCTCCTGAACGGGATGGGCAGAACAGTACATAGATGAAGGACAGTAAGCAGAGTTTCGAAGAGGGTTCAGTACAAACAATCATATCCGCATTTTTACAAGTCTCATTAAAGTATAGCGAGAGTACAAAATTTATTTCTTTCGTTCGATGGATTGGTTTGAAGAAAGCCTTTGATACCGTCGGGACAGATCTCGCGATCCCATAGAGTAGTCATCATGAACGTGAAGAGAGGGGTTCCACAGGGAATATCATCTCACCCAAGCTCTTCAGTGCCGTTTTCGAGAACATTACGCGTTACTTGGAATGAGAAGACTTAGGAGGGAAGGGTCGACGGCCGTTATTTACATCTCCACCGCTTTGCAGAAGACATCATCTTTATAATATCGCAAATCAAGCAGGCGAAACAAATGTTGGCCGAGTTTGACCTAATAGGTTCCTATCTACACTTTTCTGTTTTTCTTTTAGGCTATTGATTCTCTTCCAAACTGATTTTAAGAACAGCGATGCCACCGTTCCCATATCCCGAATGTAACTTTTCCTCGCAGCCTTGCTTGTGACTAGCACTACTATCTACTTTCCTTATTACTTTCTTATTACATTCTCATCGCTGACTTAGTTCGATTCTTACATGAATTACTTTTATGGCTATTACTGCCCTGAACTATACCACTGGTTGTGCACTCAGACGATAGCACAAACATATGTATGAACAAGAACTAGTATGAACAAGTGTTGACTGCAATGACCATAGGTGCTGGTTTAGTGCACAGAACACGCTTCTTTCGAAGACCATTCAAGTTTGGAACAAGTATAATTTTTTTGCCTTAATCATTTCCATTTTGTTACACAGCCATTCGACTTCCCTCCAGAATCGCAGTGACGTACTGAATGAGTGTCCGTCAGGCCAGTACAATGGGGGGATGAGAGGGCGGGTGGCGCACTTTCTATGACCAGCCGACGTAACAGCCGCTGCTTTTATCCTCCCAGGCGAGTTCGGAATCAAAGATGCGATGAGAAAGATGAGATGAGATGAGAAAGGTACGATGCGAAATTACAGCACATGATGGGAAAAAGAAATACGATGTCTCCACAACAATGAGCAGATAAAGGTATGACGTTGTGCTGGTCGTCGACATTGGTGGTGAAACAGTCCCACGGGAGGTGATTGGCGTATCTACTACTTTACATATCACTGAATATACAAAATTGTAACCAGTGGAGGTATATTTCGTGATTCTAAAGGCCAAAGTAGACTACTTTTCTGTCCATCCTGAACCTACCACCACTCCTTTCAGACAGTCTTATGATCGAGTCTGGTGCGTATGTGGTTTGAAACCTGCATGTACTGGTAGTGATGAGTGGCACTTCTGTATGTGCAGTCTTTCTTTTCCCTTGCCGTTAAGTTCTGTATTTTTCATTTGGCGACAAGCCTAAAAGGGGAAATTTCAACGAGAAATAGTACTCGTAAGAACTCTCCGTGGCCGTGCATACCGTGATGAGAGCAACGAGAGCATCCCAAAAAAGAGCACTTGGTACGTTCTCATTATGACTATGCACGACCAGATAAAAGCAACGCGCACAATCGTTCTGAGCGAAGTCCCCTCAACCCTAAACCTTCATAATCTCTCTAGTCAACTGACACCCAAACCCTGAAGCTTCATTATCTTTCTAGTCAACTGACAAAGTGATTTTATATGGAAGAACTACTACTTATGAATGAAACAGCGCACACTATCAAGGGAGAATTCTCTGACCGACTTTCAAAGCTTGAACGTACGGCTGCAACCGGTACATTCAACGAGATGGAAAAGCTCAGAAGTCATCTGAAATCATGGGAAAATGTCATCTCGAACTGCGGCTTTATTATTTTTATTAGTATGGCGAAGAATTGAGCAAAGGTACATTCAACATTATCTTGTTTCCCTCGATGAAGTCAATTTGTAGAAACGACGTGACAGTTACGATAAAAAATGATTTGATTTCGACGATCTATTGATTCGCGTCAGTTTCGCCCTCATGTGTATCGATTGTGCTACGAAAAAAGAACGTTTGCTTTGCTTACAGATAGTCGAAAACCTGTGACGACCTATGACGTTCTTGTGTTGAAACTGCAGTACGGTGGGAGTTCCAGCTGTTGCATCTTGTTGTATATAGGTATATCTTAAAGAATATCTTGTTACTGTGTTCACTTAGAAGAGGAGGCGCATCGTGTGTAGAAGTTTAAAGAAACATTCTAGTATCCACGAGTTACCTTGCAGTCCACACCAGCAATCAAACGACCACAACGGTTCTCAGTGGAAGTCCGATCCGGGGCGCATCCCAAAACGGGACAGATTATGCCAGAGGCTGCCGAACGAATTTTTGATTATATCTAATAAATCTATGGTTGCTACAAAAGGATAGAAACTCTGTCATCTTAGAAAAAGGCTCAGGGTCACGGAAAATTGAGGAATCAGCGACCAGCCTTACGGCGCTGCCCCTGATTCAGAGTACGCTTACCCCATCAATAATCGAAACAATCTAGGGCAATTGGAATGTAGTGCGCTATAAACAGTACACACAGTTAAACATAAAAGTGAAAGAGTAAATGATTTTGCCGTTGATCAATCTTGTTGCCGAAAATCTCCCGAATTCGACTTCAATATCTGTGTATGTGTATGTGTATGTGTAACATTAATATATAAGTCCCCTGAGGTATCTGAATTGCTGCAGTGAACTTAGATGAACATATGCCAAACGTATCAAAATATCATTTTCTTTCTTGATATGAGGGTGTTTCGGATGAAACCCCTTTTTTAAGAAGCTAGAAGTTTGTCGAGCGCATGGATATGCTCGCGAGCACTGCGCTCGGCTTATACCAACATCAATCCGCACAATTTACGGCACAATCTCAAGAGCTGGCAAGGGCGGTCCCATCCCGTCCGGAGGAGGGCGGCGGAAAAAACGAAGACAGGAGCATTCAGTGGAGCATTTCTGTCGCCTTAGCCGCCGACGAACGACATGTCTGAACAAAGTGAAAACGAAAAGGATCCCGGATGGCAATACCTCAGGAGATCCCGCGAGCAAATGCTCAAGGTACGGTGTTTTTAAATGTAGTCTTAAATATCTTCATATTCTTCATCTGAAGATACTGGTCAGAATCGAGTTCCTTTAAGGATCAATCTCGTCCATACGATTCAAAGAAGAACGTATGGATTCCAGATGCGGAAGAAGGTTACGTGGCCGCTGAAATCAAATCCACCAAAGGTGACAACGTAGTCGTAACTGTCGGAGACAAAGAGGTTCATGTTGTTCTCAATGAACTCAGCTATTTCTCCAGTCCTTGTGATTTCCTTCATACTCTGCTCATCGAGCGCCTGTTTTTCAGAAAACCGTGAAGAAGGATCTCCTTCAAGAGATGAATCCGCCCAAATTCGAAAAGACAGAAGACATGTCGAACCTTACTTTCCTCAATGACGCGTCGGTGCTCTACAACTTGAGATCTCGTTATGCGGCCATGCTTATCTACGTAAGTAACGTTTTCCGCGTTCACTAGCTGCCCCATGCTTTACCCAAGTGGAACTTTCGTGATTCGAAGTTTCTCAGAGAATCAGAACAAATTCTCAGCTGCGGCCATTTCAGGCACAAACATCCATATTTTAGTGCTGTCTTTCAGAAGAAATGATTTCCTATCATTTGGAAATGGTTTCCTATCATTTGTAGTACACAAACTTTTGATTTCCCACCCACTCTTTCCAGGACCTTCATGAGCTTCCCAAGATCTTACCCGTAACGTGCTCATTTGTATGTTGAGTGTATTTTATCGTTGGGAACAGTGTGTCGAGTGATGGTCGATAGAGTCGATTGCGCCATTGTTCTGAGAAGAGTTTGGCGGATGAGAGACGTGCAAACAGTGGCTCCCGCATCTAGTTTACCCATGCGCCGCCCACTCATATCCTCTCCTCATGATTCTGTAGGAACTGAAAACTGCTAGTGAACAGAGAGAGAAAAAAATCGGGACCAACATCTATTCAAATAATTTTAATTCCAATTTCAGACATACTCGGGTCTTTTCTGTGTGGTAATCAACCCGTATAAACGACTTCCGATTTATACCGAATCGGTAGCGAAGATGTTCATGGGCAAACGAAGAACCGAAATGCCTCCTCATCTATTCGCTGTATCCGATGAGGCTTACAGAAATATGTTAATGGATCACGAAAATCAGTCCATGCTCATTACGGGAGAATCCGGAGCAGGAAAGACTGAAAATACTAAGAAGGTGCTATCGCAAAACTTTACTGTCAGTGGTACTTCAAGTAAATTTCCAAGTTTAGGTTATCGCCTACTTTGCATCTGTTGGTGCCAGCCAACAAGAAGTCAAAGCAACTACTGAGAAGAAGGTCACCCTTGAGGACCAAATCGTACAGACCAATCCCGTACTTGAGGCGTTCGGTAACGCCAAAACTGTCCGTAACAATAACAGTTCCCGCTTCGGAAAGTTCATCCGAATCCACTTTTCGAAGGCCGGACGTGTTGCCTCTTGCGATATTGAACACTACCTTCTCGAGAAATCTCGAGTTATCCGTCAAGCACCAGGAGAACGTTGTTATCACATTTTCTACCAAATCTTCTCTGACTACAAACCCGAATTGAAGCAACAGCTTCTCTTGGACAAACCCCTGAAGGAGTACTGGTTTGTTGCTCAAGCCGAGCTCACCATTGACGGAATCAATGATACTGAAGAATTCCAACTTACTGATGAAGCTTTTGATATTCTCAACTTTTCTGCGCAAGAAAAAATGGACTGCTATCGTCTGATGGCTGCCCATATGCATATGGGTGCAATGAAGTTTAAACAGCGCCCACGTGAAGAACAGGCAGAGCCTGATGGTCAGGAAGATGCTGAAAAGGCAACCGCAATGTATGGTATAGATGTCGACCAATTTTTGAAAGCTCTTGTTTCACCTCGTGTAAAGGTCGGAACAGAATGGGTTTCGAAGGGTCAAAACGTCGACCAGGTCAACTGGGCTATCGGCGCTATGGCTAAAGGTCTTTACGCTAGAGTATTCCACTGGCTGGTCAAGAAATGTAACCTGACTCTTGATCAACAGGGAATTAGTCGCGACTACTTCATTGGTGTACTGGATATTGCTGGTTTCGAAATTTTCGACGTGAGTTCACCTTTTCCAAATTAAAATTATCATATAATTTTCTAAGAATTTCTTGGTTTAGTTCAACTCCTTCGAACAGCTTTGGATTAACTTTGTGAATGAGAAGCTGCAGCAATTCTTCAATCACCACATGTTCGTTCTTGAGCAAGAAGAATACGCTCGTGAAGGTATCCAGTGGACCTTCATCGACTTCGGTCTCGATCTTCAAGCCTGTATTGAGCTGATTGAGAAGGTACGTTTTCAACTTGGCATGCCATTTAGTGGGAAAGAATCCTGTTTAATTACAGCCTTTGGGTATCATCTCAATGCTTGACGAAGAATGTATTGTACCGAAAGCCACGGACATGACCTTGGCTCAGAAGCTGAATGAGCAACATCTGGGCAAACACCCGAACTTCGAGAAGCCCAAGCCACCAAAGGGTAAGCAAGCTGAGGCTCACTTTGCCATGAGACACTACGCCGGAACTGTGCGATACAACGTAACCAACTGGTTGGAGAAGAACAAGGATCCCCTCAACGACACCGTTGTCACTGTCATGAAAGCATCAAAGGGTAACGACCTGCTCGTTGAAATCTGGCAAGATTATGTCACTCAAGAGGAAGCCTTAGTTGCCGCTAAATGTAAGTCCAAAGTTTCCTCTTCTCTCATTGCAGCTTCTGAATGACTCAATTATTTTTTCCAGCTGGTGGCGGTGGAAAGAAGAAGGGAAAATCAGGTTCTTTCATGACGGTCTCCATGATGTATCGTGAATCACTGAACAATCTCATGAATATGCTGCACAAGACTCATCCTCATTTCATCCGTTGTATTATTCCCAATG